TAGCAACTGGCCCAAGCTTTCCTTATTGTCATCTCCGTAGCCTCTCAATCTGTCGACGTCGTCGGCGAAACTCGATAATGAAGGCTGGCCGGTTGTCTCGTCTAACGCTCGATCGGGAAGGTCATGCAGGGTAGGGAGGACCGGTGGGTCCCGGGTCTGGAGGAAATTGAGGATCAAGCATATCCATGTATACGAGCTAATTGTGCCACCAATGCCTGAGCGATGTTAGATTAGGAGGAGACGGGTATGCGGCAGACTGACCAGCATCGTTGAGGATCCGGCGCTTTGTCCAGTGCTTGATTATCATAGCGAGCGGCCGAACACGATCGTCCAGCTGGATGTATGTCTTGATCATGCGCGTATTCTCGATTGCGGCGACGTTGTTCACATTGATGTCGCAGGAGATTTGCAGCTCAGGGTCCCAAACTTTTACAATCCGCACTTTGGCTGCTGGTATGCATACCACACGTTCCATGCCGTCTAGGGAGATTAGTCTAAGTCAAGCTGAATCATGGTGGCAACGTACGTTTGTCCAAGGCCTCAGCCAGGGGGTGCATTTCTTCGAGCCTTTTCATGGGCGTTTGAATGCAAATGTCGACTGTCCATGTTAGTGCGGGCCTTTTGATGCGGGTTGGAACATACCATCGCTTTCGGAAGTCCACAACATGTTGCCAGAGGAGCCAAAGACGTGGACCATGATCTTGGTGCCTGGGAACTCGGTTTCGAGTATGCCCTGCATCTTCTTTATGAAGCGTTCTCGGATGTGGGTGTCTTCCTGTTTCGGCTCTAACCGGTCGTATAGCTCTCGCATGTCTCCGCTCAACTTGTCATCCTCGTGGGGATCCAGACTCTTCTTGGGCTCCTCTTTGGTTCTTTCGAGTATCTCGTCTGATTGGTAGGGCATGCGTCTCCGGCCCAGCATACCGACGTTGGTCTCGAATCTGCACTTGAATGGGCGCGCGGGTCTCAGCGTGGGCATGGTGCCGTTTGCTTCGGACGAGACGGAGCGTGGCGAATGGCTGCCCAGTCCGCCGTTTGGCGACGGGGAGCGTGAGCGCGTTGTGTATTTGCGGGCGACCTGCAGGGGCGTCGAGGGGACGGAGTTGGAGTGCTGCGAGACGATGGACGGGCGCTGGGCGCGCGTCTGGGCGCCCGCCTCTTCCCGTTTGCTCGACATATTTGGCAGACGGTTTGATGTCATCGTGGGCGCGCTGGTGGGCACGCTACGCTGTGTAGCCTTATTCCCATCTGTGGTATTGTTGTGCGCCTGGGCCGTCTTGACGGGAGGCTTCTTGGAGAGGGTGCGGCCTGAGTCCCGCTGGGGCGGCGGGCTCAGCGAGTGGGGAGACACAATTACGGCGGGGAAGGGCGTGTGCGAGGCGGATGGATACACTTCGTCGATACGCGCGAGCTGCAGGAAGGGGTGCAGCAGCAGCTGGGGCGGCACGTGGGCGTAGTGGATGTGCGGGTGCAGTGGGTGTCGAGGGAGCGGTAGGGGAGAGTAGGCGGGGGCAGCGAGGGCGGGCGAGGAGGGTTTGGTCCGGCGAGGGTCGGAATGAATGAGCTGGGGATGTTGGAGGTAGAGATATTGTGGGTTGTTGTGGCGGCGGTCGCTCATAAACTTTAGTGGGCGCTCACTGGCTATGGCAATGGCGGTGCTCGCGGAGGGGCTGCGGCGGCTCGGGGGCTAGGGCCGTGGGCGGGAGCAGAGAGAGATGCTTCCAGAGCAAGTGAAGGCAGAGGGCTGGAGCGAAGGAGCCCGCGGTGAGGGCGTACTCGGAATTCGGCGTCGTGAGAGGGTGGTGCGTGAACCCCTGCCGTGAGAGCCTGGTCCGCACTCGTCGCTGCGAAGGTGCTAGGGATCCGGCGTCGACTGTGGTTCCGCCGGTCAGCGCTAAACAATGGCGGGATGCAGACGCAGACGGGAATCGAGGCACTGCAGACGGCGGGCGGAGCGGTGCAGAGGACGAGGTCGACAGTCTGTGAGGTTGTGTGCAGTGCAGCGGCATGCATGGGCATAGGCATAGGCATGGGCATGGGCATTTGGGCCACACCTAGGTCCTAACGAGGGATGAACGCACAGGGCTGCCTCTAATGCGCTTTGGGACGTGTGACGGCGACAGGGGCGCCTTCTCCATGGCCCATACACATACAACACGCCATGTAATCTATCCTCTGCTGCTCCATGGCGGGGGGCTGCCCGATGTCTTTCTGGCCTACACCACCACCTTGCACTCCCACCACCACCGCCATCACCAACGCGGCGCTGGCCTTCCCCGCGCCCAGAGCACTGGACAAGGGAAAAAGCACAATCCACGCCATACCGTCAGCCGTCATCAGCCCTGGCCGTGCTGGCTGGCCGTGCGGAGACGGTAGTGTTCAACGGGCCACTCCGCCGTGCTTCTACGCTACATGACAGCTTCCTGTAGAACTCCTGTTAAGCTGCAGCATGGGCGTCTCCTGTCTCGTGCAGCCCGTGTCATAGGACATGACGCCTACTCGTGAGATTGTAGGGGCTTGCTGCATCGCAGTCAGACCGCCCGCTATGTCCTCTGCCTCGGACATTGTTCACCAACCCTGTGTCACCGTGTATTTCTGGTCTCGTCCCATCTGCATCTGACCGGTATATCACCGCCGGAGCAGACGCAGGGACAGCACCAACGGCGGCATTTCGTAATGACCAAGGTACCCGCGCCTCCGGTTCCAAGTATAGCCACCCGCCAGAGTCTTGATGTCAGAAGACGGGCATTCTCGCGTTTGTCGACTTGTTTCGACGCGGTAAATTGGGGCTCCAAAATACGCACCCAACTGGCTACGGGCGGACTCTGTTTCAGATGCCGACTTTCGGCTCATCACGTGACGGCCGTGCCCATCATGTCCACGGCTACGCAGGCGCAAGCGCAAGGGGCCTTTTGGCTACGGCAGGCGCGTTGCACCGATGGGGAAGCGACTATGTCATTCCCTCCAGCCGAGGCATCTCCGCATGAGGCGCATCGACTATGGCATTTCTCCGCCCACGACCATCTGTATTGTTCGCCGCTCGTGGACCTTCTCTTCGATCATTTTCTTCAGCCATGGCTCAGCGACGCATTGGTAGGCTGCTTAGCGACATCTTGTGCGACAATAGCTGATGGACCATAGCGAACCCCGCCCTCTTGTATGCAGACCACAGCCGTGACAATTCCCTTCTAATATCATTACAGCATCTGCGATCTTCAAGAGAAGTTTCGTCCAGCCATTTATGAGTTTCCCAAAGTCGTCTCCACGGCACAAAAGTTGCTGAAAGCGAGTATGCTCCACATTTTTTGTCCAACACCGTGTCCCAACTCCAATAAGACACCAACACCACCCTCTAGGCTTGCCACCCGCTGAGCGTCAGCCTGAAGCTCTCAGGCAGGCTCACCAAAACCTTTCATTATACTTTCCGCCCCGCGTGCTTACTGCTGACCAACCCTTTCAGGCAAATTACTGAACATTCCAGTCTTCGCGACTACCCAGAACAAAGGTAGGTTACGGCTGTACGAACCGTATGTGAGACATGTACTGACGTAGTCCTTCCGCCTCCGTAGCGCGATTGGGCGAGACATGTCCGGAGCTGAAGCTGGATCAGCCTGATGGCATCAATACAGTCTGTCATCTTGACAAGACATTGTTTTCGATGGTGTAAGCCACAGCACAAGGGATCTGTGCGTCAATACTACTTGCTGACTCATGGTAGAACACCAGAAGTCAAGCAAGCACTAGACTCGCTCAACGCCTCTGGCCCACTCTCCTGCATCATTGTCGGCATCGAGAGCCACATCTGTGTCACTCAGACCACACTCGATCTCCTCCGGGCCGGACACCAAGTCTATGTCATTGCTGATGGCGTAAGCTCGTGTAATAAAGAAGAGGTGCCGATCGCTTTGGCAAGGCTACGCCATGAAGGTGCCGTGGTGACCACTAGTGAGAGCTTCATGTACGAATACGTTGGGGACGCTAGTACACCCGAGTAAGTGGAATTGCAGTGTCGAAGGGTCATCTATTATGGACTAGATGGCTAACAATAAATAGATTCAAAGACATCATCAAGGTGGTCAAAGAGACGTCGCAAAGCACAAAAGAGGCAATGCAGACGCTTTGTAAAATCTGAGATGATCATTACCGAATATCGCATCGTTATCATATCAGTACCACTTCCAGTAGCTATTTTACAGATCCATGTCCATGAATAAAGCAAGCCCGTCCCAACCACCTGATGCGTAGCACTCGCATATTTCTCCATGCAATTGGAGTCTCTCCAGTTTCGCGGCTCGAAACATCCCACCTTCATTTCCACGGCCCATCTTCCTACAGCTCTCGGCCATTGACTGGGAGCATTGGCAAGGCCACATTCTTGATCTCCCTCGTCTTAACAATTCCAGTCCCTGATGGCTTGCCGGCCTGTTTCGCGATTCCCCTCCCTTCCAGACCTATGGCAAGTCTCCTCAGCGTCCTCCGTGGGGGCACAACTGGAGCAACCTACACTGACCCTCCATGTGCCCCCATGCAAAGTAACGCTGGGTTCTGACACGCGTTTTGACTCAATACAAATACCCCAGAATATACCCCACATTAGACCACATTGATTACCTCGTATGTAGATTACACAGTTGCAGGTAGACTTTACGAACTGGTCTTGGCACGGACGAGCGAGATTGAACACTGTCGATCTGCAGTGTCTGTGATAGCATTTCAAGTCGAGGAATAAGGTTATCGAGTTATTTAAGCCACTGGAAAAGAACACTTTCGTGGTGATATGCCATTCCCTATCCACGAGAATAATGTATCGGCGTTGTGGAGTTCTGGCGTCTGCCAAAATCCGTGCCAGCACACGCAACTTAGTCGCCTGGAGAGGGTGATGCATACAAGTTGAAGAATTCCGTTGCAATATAGTGTGATTTTTTCTCTGTCGGCTTTGAAAGACGCTGCTTCCTATCCCGATTGAAACAGCTCGCTCTATGCATTCTTCACTCGAATGTCTACGACTCGTTCTTGCGTTCAAGATACACCGCATCATTCCCATAACCTTGAACCTTCCCCTCCAATACCTCATCGATTACTGGTGCCTTGAAACCATATCGACCCCAAAAGTCTCCTGTACCATAGACGGAAACAAGACCAGTAGTTGCATATCCCTTAGCAACAATCTCCAAGATCTCGTGAAGACATTGATGCGCGAGCCCATATCTACGGAATGCGGGCAGAATAGCCAGGTCATGGATGTAGTACTGATCCGCATCCGGCCTGATTTCGCCGAGAAGCTGGTTGAGAGCTGGGGGCTCGCATTTGCGAATGGGATGCGAGACGATATATCCGCAAATTTCACCGTTTTCGTCAAAGAGACCTTGGCAGCCTTGCGGGAATAACCTGGCGCGTTCTGCGAAGACTTCGTCGCTTTCAGGGAGGTCGGGATGGATCTTATCAGCTACTTGGACGAGGCTGGCAATGTCACCGGCGGATAGCGGACGCCATACTGCTTTAATCTTAATATCCATTTCCATTTTGCCTTGTCCGATTGTGACGCGCTGTTTGAATTTCCGAAGGTCCTATCGTGAGGTGGCCAGGTGTAGCCACGTACGAACCTTGGAACACCTCCTCAAAGGGTACCACCGCTAACCAAGATGCATACACAAGTATTTTGAAATGAGTCTAGCAAAATGCTAAATCGAGATCCGCTGTTTAGATGCGCCCTTGAATAGCATTGAAAGGGGAAGCGCATTTGCTGCCGAAGATGACGTAATTAATATCTAGACAGGTTAAAGTCCGTCGCTAGTACTACGTTCAAAATCTGTTCCCTCACCCCGGGATCGTCGCATTTTCATTTTCAATACCAATCAACATCATATAGTTACTCCTCTTTCCCATGCATTGGTTAGTATTTGTGTGTAGGTCGCGATATTAACTCATCAATGTGAGAGTGAACTATGCGTGATGGAGAAAGTATGTCAGTGTGAGATTCGATGCGCGTATAGTCATCCAATACTTCCAGCTACACTAGTCACGACAGAACCACATGGCAAGGGCGAAGAACCGCTATATTGATCTTCTATCCAAGCCAGCTCAATCCAATATTCGACAAAACAGTCAGAAAAGGCATGCTTGCTAGCGCTATCTTAAGTCAGTTTCGGATTGTATTTTCAAATGCCATCTAATGGAAGAAGTTGGAAAAAGAGATTCAACCCAACTTGGGCATAACATACAGAGGCGGAGCCACGCCGGCAAAGGGAATAGCCGATTGAACGACGATGAAGCAAAGTGTAACCAGACGAAGAAGCGAACCAGGTATGGGATATCAGTAGAACAACGAATGTGAGAGTGAATAGTCGTAAGAAAGGAAAGGTAATAGCCCCGGGGCGAGCTGCGCATGGAGGCTTGCCACAGAGACGCTGAAATTTGATGATGGATCTTTCTTGGCGGAGCTTCTATGCTCATTGATCTTTGGAAGGACAGAGTTAGCAAACGAGATGCTGAAAAGCCGCTCGGCTATATCCCGAAACGTAGACGTCCTATCATTCGAGTTCAGCAGCCCATGCATCTCCGCTCTTCACTAGCGATCACCTCGACGAGATCTGAGCTGCAGCGATCTCAGCAACCTCATCTTCCGGTCTCATTCTCAAGCCGCCTTTGACCTGAATGCCTTGCTGAACCCAGTCCAGCTTCTCAATGTCCTCCAGGCTCTTGCGACCACGTGAGGCCTTCTTCAGCAGACCCTCGACGCACTCGCGAGCGCCAGCCCACTCGTTGCCCTTTTCCGCATCCCACTCGCCGTCTTCGTCACCGAATTTGACCCAAGACCAATCGCATCTGGCGATACGGTGAGCGGCTCTACTACGAGACGCGGCCTTGCCTGGCGGTGGATCAAAGGGCAAACGTCCTTCCATGAGAGCATAGAGTAGGACGCCGAGCGCCCAGGCATCAGTTGAACGGCCGTCATATGGCTGACCGAGGAGAATCTCCGGAGCAGCATAATCTTCACTACCGCATCGTGTTGTCAAAAGAGGCGACTCGGGAGGAGTAGGGATGCGTCGTGAGAGGCCGAGATCCGTGAGTGTCGCTATGGCATGCGGATGGCACTGTGGGTTCTTGAGTAGAGGCACGGTAGACACAGGAATATTGAGAAGGACGTCTGGATGTCATTAGTACAGAGTAGAAGCGAAGAAACGTACCAGATGAAGTGTGGCAAGGTAAAGAGAATGGAAGCAGTACTTTCTAGCTTGATGTCGCGATGCACAATAAGTTGGGTATGCAAATAACGCACAGCGCTGACCATTTCGGCGAAGACGCGATGGACGATGTCGAGAGTCAGCTTGTCGCGATGGTCACTGGCTACATCAAACAGATCACCACCGGGACAGTAGGTAAGGACAATAAGAGCTTGGGCGTCATCGTGATCGAAGGCTTGGAGATGGACAAGAGAGGGGTGCGATACTGATCGGAGCATTTCGACCTCTCGCTTGAGGCTTAGTTCTACGCGCTCTTCGTCGGCACCCCCGGCAGGGCCATGCTCGACGACCTTGATGGCGACCAGTTTCCGTGGATCCAAAACGTTCTCATCGAGAGGGTCCTTTGCTTTGGTCTTCTCACAGGTTGCGAGGTAGACTTTACTGAAGGTGCCCTGCCCCAGTTGGCGGACAGGGCGCCAGAGCTTCTTCGTCTTTTGAGGGCCACACCGCACCACTATATATTGAGTCTTGTCATCTTCGGTCACGTCGTCTTCCTCGGTGTCGGTAACACTGCGGTTGCTTGCGTTGCTCGCGGGCGGGGTGGGAAGGCCGGCTGGCACATTGGCGGGGACGAGGCCTCGCTGCGTCGCCAGATATGTCTCGCGGTTCATGCGCTGCTGCATGGCGGGGTCCGTGTCGACGACCGAGACATGCCGAGGACGGGTGTTGTGCATTGAGTCCGGGGTGTACTCGCTGATGCTCCTGTTGCGCTCGCGAGCAGCCTCGTTCCTCTGCTGCGAGTTTGCGGCGGCCGCCTCCATGGCAGCGGCCTTCAGGCCCGAGTAGCCCTTCTTCTTGAGCGAGGGCGAGGGCGACAGGGTACCCTTGGCGAAGATGGCGAAGGCGTCGTCGCGCGAGGCGGCCGAGATGCCGCGCGAGCGAGGACGATGGTCGGCGCGCTGCCATGGGCCGGGCGAGTCGCCCATGACCAGGGGCGAGGGAAGCGGGGTGATGTCGCCCAGCGCAGCCAGCGCTGGCGACGAGATGGCGGACGAGGGCGACAGCGAGCCGAGACTGGCAGTCGACCAGGCGGTCCTCAGATAGCCGCTGTCCTGGATGGCAATCGGCGCCGTGGCCGACTGCCGCAGCGCGTCGCTCCCGCTGGGCTCCAGATTGGCGGGGTCGAGGGAGCGTGCCGAGTTGGGGTTCGAGGCGATGGCGAGGTCCGTGTCGAGCTTCAGCGCCGTCGACGGGGCGCGGACGTGATATCTGGGCAGCGAGGGATCCGTGGCTGCCGTGCCGGGCGCGAGGTCCGCCGTCGTCAGCGTCGATGTCTGGCGGGCAGTGTCTGGCGTCGCCTGCGTCTTCTGCGTCGTGTCGGCGCGGGCAGGCGCCCGTGGGAGTGCAGGGCTGGAGGACGCGAGACCCGGAGAGGATGGCTCTGGGTCCTCCATGGTGTTGTGTCACGGCGGCCAAGGTCCAGTAGTCTGTCTGCGGGCAATGCCACCCGTGGACCTCCATGCACGTGCGCCTCCGCTACCGTTAGCGCCTCTCGTCTCAGCGTCGGTCCCATCCCAGCACACTGGTCCACGGCACCGACTCCCTGACTCTCAAAAAGTCCTCCCGCGAAGCCACTGCCGACTTCGACCTCGAGGCGTGCCGTCAGTCACCAAAGCGACATGGGGCCGTTTTGGGCTTCCGAGCCAGCCAGCCAATCGCAAGCGAGCCTCCGACAACGTGAACTCGCGCCCTCACACGGCATGTCATGCTGAGTCCGATCGCGAGTGTCTACCAATTGACTCCAAGCGGCATGATATCGAGCCTCTCGCCATCCCCATGTTGGGAACTCGGCATGGGCCTGGCGTTGCCTTACTTACCTTTCGCACATCCTGCGGCTGTTCGCTGACATATCCTTTCATTGCATCCTCTCTTATGGACGTCGTTGGACCGCGGCGGCCGTTCCCCTCCAGAGTGTCCATCTCCGCTGCCACCTATGCTTTCGTTTGGACGAGTCGGAAATGCGGCGTATCGCGATGTACCCGGAGTCTATGTACGTGGTGGCTCGGACCCTACCATCTTCTCTTGTATCTGACAAGTCTGTCAGACACATATTGCCGACCCCAATGAGCGCCGGCGGATGGCCCTCGCCGAGGTAGACAAGGCGCCCTTCGGCTGGTATCATATACGACTAGCAGTCGTGACAGGCATTGGTTTCTTCACCGATGCGTACTCTGTGAGTCTGACAGTAACATGAACGACAATGCTGAAAGCTGACTAACAATATCTTCAGCTGTTCGCCATAAACCTAGCTGTCATCCTGCTAGGAATTGTGTACTGGCAAGATACGGAACACCAAGGCGTCATGCCCCATGATGCCGATACAGCCATCAAAGTCGCTACGTCCGCCGGCGCCATCTTCGGCCAATGTATCTTTGGGTACTTGGGTGATGTTCTAGGAAGGAAGAAGATGTACGGAGTAGAGCTGATGATTATTATCTGCACAACACTCGCACAATCGCTTTGCGGTGAATCAGCGACCCTTTCCATCGTGGGTGTGCTCATCTTTTACAGAGTTGTAATGGGAATCGGCGTAGGTGGTGACTGTACGTACACGTTCCATGCAACAGTTCCATATCCTCTTGTCGATGATAGGCTAATCATACATCAGACCCGCTTAGTGCAGTTATTACGGCAGAATTTGCCAGTACCAGATACCGGGGAGGCATCATCGCCGCCGTTTTCGCCATGCAAGGCCTCGGCCAACTTGCAGCCGCCTTAGTAACTCTCATCGTAGTCATAGTCTACAAAGACCACTTGATCGTGGTAGCTAACGTTGGACAATGCGTCGGGCAATGCTCCATGCATGTTGACAAGATGTGGCGCATTATCATCGCCTTCGGTGGCATTCCTGCCTGGTTCGCGCTGTACTACAGACTCACAGTACCGGAAACGCCACGATACACGTTTGATGTGCTATACGATGTTGAAAAGGCCTCAGTTGATGCGCGAAAGTACCGCTATGGTAAGCAGGGTAACGTGGTCAATCCAGTCACACAGGCGAAGACGCGTAACGAGATGAACAAGTACAAGACGCCGCGGCCTACGTTGATGGAAGTACTGCGGTTTTACTCACAGAAGCGCCAAGCTATTCGCCTATTCGGCACCTCTATGTCCTGGTTGTATGTGCAGCAATTTACTACTTTAGCTATAGAACAAGCTGACATTCACACAGATTTTTAGACATGGCCTTCTATGGTCTTGGCTTCTCCTCTGCATCACTGATGTCGACTATGGGCTTCGACCAACGCG